GCATGTTTATGTTATAATTCTAGTTTAGCATTATAGTGCAATCGATATACTTCAAATCATATAACATATGTTTTACAAAAGCATATAATAATAACGCGAGTTAACTGGATAAAACAAAGGTGTCTTCTTACCATGTAATATTCTAAATTTATAGGTAACCCTATATATGATTAGAATATATAATATGTATAAGAGTTATCTTCCACAACAGTATGATACCGTCTTAATTTCTACAATAAACCAAACAACCACCTACTATTATGGTCCTCGATTCGAGTATGCCATTGAACAAAAAGCATAAATTATTTCCCGTGCAGTGCACTGTTACTAAAGGCATGGCTAGCGTAAAGTTTGAATTCTATCTCTATAATACTTTCGGGCCTACATTGGAGGTATTTGTCTGCAACTCAGATGACGTTACATAAATCTAAAAATCAGGGTCCGACGGAGAAGCAGGCGAGCAACGGGATAATAAGTCCGTACTTTCGGGCCTACATTGGAGGTATTTGTCTGCAACTCAGATGACGTTACATAAATCTAAAAATCAGGGTCCGACGGAGAAGCAGGCGAGCGAGCAACCGGATAATAAGTCCGCCTCACAGTTGGATTTACTAAATCCGGACTTACGTAGTAAAAGAGATAAAACATGAGAAAAAAAAAACTCAACCTGAGAAAATCTGATTTAACGAAGCATTTAATTTATTTTTTATTTTTTGGTGATGAGCTGAATTTAAGTTAAATTCATGAATAAATCCTATCAATAGTATAGTCTAACAAACACCGTCATGGCCTCATAGTGACTTTAAGATAGCAGACAAAAAAAACTCGAGGTTCAAGCCGCTCTTTAAGTTACTTCTAAATTGTAAAATTAGCCGTTTGGTCCTGTCAATTGAAAACCCAATACACGTGTGATGACCCATCTATTTACCTGTTGGGCGCGGCTTCCTCTGCGCGGTGCGGCGGGACGTCGCGGTTTGACACTGTCTGGCACAGTGTTTTGCTCGCCGCTGCCGCGAATCTGGGCGAAACGCCGACCACGGGTGAGACCCTGCGGCCCGCGTTACCGCTCCGTTTTTTACTCTCGTACCCCTAATTTCTCCTTCGTAAGTTCTCACGAGTTCTGCCCTGCGCCCCACCTGGAGGAAGGAGGAATGGTACTACTGGTGGGAGAAGGGTCGTCCGATCACTTGATATTCGATGATTTCCTCCCCCCATCGTCGCTCACAGGTACCGTTCACCCCTTCCCTCTCTCTCGCTTCAGCTCTCCACTCCGTTGTCATCTTCTCTGGCTCTATCTGCAAAGTAAAACAATGTCTAATTACATTCTTCTTCTTCTTCTTTTAAAAAGGAAAGTAACTTTAAGTTTCAATCACGATCTGTGATTTTGGACAACAGCTAATTCAAGAGAGAAGAAACAAAAATTAATGGAAATTTTTCATGATTTTAGTTGTTTTATTGATAGTTAATGCATTATACATACCAATTATGTGTTATGTATGTAAATTTAACTTGTTCGCTGGAATTTGGAATTCTTTGTCTTTATAAGATTTAGAATTCACCTTCTTATTTATATATGTCCCTGTTTCCTTATCCTAAGATTTAAGAATTATTTTATTGATTGTTTATTTTTCTTATTTACATCACCATAAGTATCTTCAGCTCCCAGCTTCGCGGCAGAAGGACGCTGAAGCGGGAGGAAAGCAGACAGTGGGATCGACCCCGCGGCTCCAGCTTCCGCTGGCTAAATATGCCAAATTGCCCCCGTACGCAAGGAATCCATCTGCCCTAGCATTCTCCTGGTGTTCCCGATCTCTCACCGTCTCGCCATGTCCCAGCGTTCCGCCTATTATTCTTCTTGCTCGAAGTGAGCAGCTTCCCTACAAAATGGATGTACAATACAGATCTGATCTCCAATCATCAGTCTGAACGGGTGCTCGGAGTGGGAAACTCTTCCACCTTTTGGGCAGCTTCCCAACCTCAAGTCGTTGTACCTTTCTGACGTTGTAACGTGCCAAAAGCAAAGCGGCTTGATTGTAAATTCCATGGGAATGACAAGGTTTATGTGTTTCCATCGTTGGAGGTGCTTATCATTGTTTCAGGCTCTTCATTTTAAGAGTAAAGATGCCATCAAATGTTTAACATACATGATGCAAGATAGCCACGAGCCAAAAGCTTTGCATACAAATTTCACTTATACGACTAACTAAATTATTGTTAATAATTGATAAAAACTGGAAAAAAGGAGAATTTACATGCATAGCACAACTCTTTTGTATTTACCTATCTCACAACTAAACTTTCATATTTACCAACATAGCACTCAAATCAATATTTGACTGCAACGATTGAGTATTGGATTTTACAATTGAAGCAGAAAACAATCAACCTTGAAGAAGCTGAAGTAACATATTTGAATAAATTGGGAAACTTCAATTAATTGGATCCTTGTTGCATGCCTCTTTGTTCTCTGATAGTATGTGTAGCTTTGTAAATGAATGCTTGTATTTCTAAACTTTATGTTTTACATTTATAATTATACCAACCAATTACTATGCATTTACATATCTAAACTTTATGTTTTACATTTATAAGACCCAAAGAATGTTGTCATTTTATGTTTGTAAAAATTGAAGTACAGGTGTTACATGTGTACATACATAGGAATTGAGCTAACACCCAAACTTCAATTTTATCATATATATTGTCTTACATTTCCATGAAAATTTGTATTTCACTTTTTAAAAGTTAAAAGAGTGGTTTTTTTTATGTGACATGAAAGATTTGGGCGGTATAAACGAAAAAAGTAAAGTTAGTGTTAGACATGTAAATACTTAAGAATTGGGTTGTATGTATGTAAATCATTTTTTTTTTTTTTTGGTGCAGCATATGCTCGTTTTTTTGGTGAAGCATGGACTACTTGTATGTAATTTTAGATTGTTTTTATTTGAAATTTATTTTTAAACAACAAATTTATGACTTCTGGGATTGACTAAAAATTGTAAAAGTCTATTTTTTACATTTTTAGTTAGTAAAATGAATTTCTGCTTCTGTTGTATCATATATAAGATTGTTATTTTTCCGTTCCAAACAGTTTAACTAAACAGGGGCATAATTGTCATTTTTTCAGAAACAGCTGCCCCACAGCTGTTTTCACACAGCTGCAACAAACAACCAGTCAGCTTCCCCGCAGCAGCTTCCCCACAGCAACTTCTTGAAGTAGTGCAGCTGAAAAGCTGCAGCTGCACCAAACAGACCATTAATTATCTTGGGATTTTTGAGGATGGTAAACTGTTAATTGTAGAATGGTCTGACAACTGAATTTAGTTAGTTGACGGATCGTAGATTGACCAAACATTTTGGGTTTAGCCGGAATGTGGAACTAGCCAAAAAAAAGTGCATGTGTTCAATTCATTATGGGGAACAACGTTATTAAACAGATAGGATTTGTGTGGCACGAATGGCTCAGGGTTGCATATTTCAATGAGTTACGTGCGTGAGCAACATGTTCTATGATACAAAGTTGTTGCTAAGAGAAGCCTTCAGGGTGATATGCCAAGTGAGTGAGTCTGCTTTGCTTCCGACGCTACTTTCTGGCGGGGTATATAAGATGCCTATCATGGTCTCCATCGACAAATACTCTAATTCAAAATGTCTCTCAACATCCAACCAAAAAAAAAAAAAAACAAAAAAACCTGACTGGTAATGCTATGTGTAGAGGGATCGTGCCCTAATAGTCAAGGAACAATCAATTGATATGAGGGCAAGTGATTGTGATTGTCCTCTACGAAAAAATATTTCATACGGACAACGCATCTGATCTCGACCGTCGATCACAGCAAAACTGTATTTCGGTGGGCCCCATTTAAAAAAAATTAAAAAAAAATTGTGATCGACGGCCGAGATCGGACAGTGCATACATCTCTGCATGCGCCATCCGTATGGAATACTTTCTCCATTCTTTATCACCAATATAAGATGAAGAAACTCAAAGGAGAAAGAGTTGATATCCCCTTCAGTAATTTAGTGTGCGCGAGAGAAAAAAAGAAAGACGCAACAATAACTGTTTGAATAAGGGTTTTATGCCAACTCATTATTATTAATTCATTTAACTCTCTGGGGTCTTGTGATCGATATTCGGTACATTATCTTGGTCATCTGTTGAGGCCTAAGGTCGGAAAGCTTCCCGACATGTTGAGCAAATCCATTTGTTCTTTACTAAGGCGGGGTTTGGATGCAGACTAAATTTACGTTAAATAAGATTTGTTAAATAAGATTTATTAAATCATGTAAATCCAATCTTCACTTTCACGGGAATGAACTCTCGAGCGACAACAACAAGAAAATCGTAAATCCGTCTCAAGAGTGAGTTTTACTAAATCTGGCTTTACATACGAAATGCGGGAAGAAATGTCAAAACGCAAAACTTTTCATTTTGATGAAGCGTTGGATTTAGTTTTGATTTTTTTTATGTTAGGTTGGATTTAAGCTAAATCCATGGCTAAATCCCCTGTAAATAATAATGCTACCAAACACCCCTTGAATGTGCTAACCATTTTTCTACTGAGTGGTGTATCTACTATTTTTCCTGACCCGATCACTAAGGCGAGGAAAATAAAAAAGGCATGAATCCTACCTTCTTCCAGACCAGAAACATTATTAATCTATTGTTCCTCTAAGCCTCCTCGCCCCAGTGATTGATGCATCCAGGTCGAAAATACCACAGTATTTCAAAGGTTTTATAGCTCTCTCACAGATATAGAATGCACTAAAAGGTATTAAAGTTTTTATAGATGGATTCCCAACTAAATAGTTGGAAGACTAAGACTAAAGTTTTTAAAATCCCAAAATTCTATCTTAAGAACTGAAGAAAATCTCTACAGTGATTAAATAAACTCTTTGAAAAAGCAGCCAAAAAAAAAATCATAATTGCATAAGAACTTCAGGAATATTGAAAAAGGCTCGTTTCTTGGTACCTAATGCTCAGCATCATTCACTCGGCATAACTAAAAACATTCTGCAAATTTATGTCAATGGCTGTTCCAAATTTAGAATCGAGGAAAAGAGAGGAGAGAGCACTAGAATACTAAAATGAGAAGGAAATGAGAAAAAATTCTCAAAGAAAATTCAAATGCTTTTGAACAGAGAGCAAATGTTATGCCGGCTAATAACTACAAATTTACAGTACACGTGGACTGAAAAGAAAAATACCCCAGCAAAGCTGCTAGACCATTAAATGAGACGATTATCATACCCACTCAAGCTCTCACACTGCATCCAACATGTAAAGCTGCCTTCAGCATTCCATTATTGCACAATTGTATACAAATGAACCTGCTCGTTCTCTCACAGAAAGCACATCCCATTCTGCACCATTATTTCTCTCCTCAGGACACCAAGAATGCAGCACAATGACTTCACCTTGAGGCCCCCTATGTCCACCTATCACCAACAGCATTTCACCACATGATTTGAATGCAATACCCCAACCATTATGTGAATCAGCTCTGACAGGTAAAGGCTTCACAACATGCCACGTATTATTTACTTTATCGTATTTTTTAACTTCATTTGTAGACTGATCAGCGGTATAAAGCTGGTTATTTACAACAGCTACAAGAGGTGGAGACTGGTGAGTGGCCCTGTTATCACCAGGATACATATCTGGAATCCTTCTCCACGTCCTTGTTTGGAGATTAAATTCCTCACCACATGTTAAAGAATCAGTGTGGCTTGACATACCCCCTATAACATAAAATTTATCATCCATGAAGAACCCAGAACACATTTTCCTAGGCAAGTTCATATCAGGTAAAGTTTCCCATATACCCAGCTCTGAATCATACAACTCAGCAAATTTTAAAATTTTGCCATTCTTATCGCTTCCACCAGCAACAATGGCAATTTTACCAGAGCTGCCAGACCCAAACAGACAGCGTGGTAAGGTCATGAGAGGGCACCTGCACCAACTACGACTTACCAAGCAATACATCCAAATGGCAAAACCAGTCAATTCCCTACCAAATACCAGAAGTTTAGTTCCAACAGCAAGAGACTCTTTATCTGCATAAGAGAAGCACTCATCACAAGGCATTGTAGGTAGCCTCATCCACCTTAGCTGACTGGGATCAAATGCCTCCCATGGCATTAAACTGCAAGATAAGTAGACCCAATGCTCAATGATGCCAAGCTGTCTCCTCAACTCGTACAGATACCCAGAACCAAATATAAAATTAAACCTTTTATTTAAACAAGAAAGTGAAGAGTAGTAAGATCTAGAAGTCAAAGCCAAACATTGAAAAGCAACATCATCAGGAAGGCCTGGAATAAGACAGTCGTTAGATCTTTGCCTAGTGTAACCCATTCCAGGTTTTTTTCTAACCGCTAAGTTTTTCTTTTGTGGTTTTTTGCACTCCAGACTAAACATGGTGAAGTAAATTTGCAATAGGTATATCTTCATCTCTATCAAAAGGCTGCAATTTTTGGCCAAAAGCATGTAAACCACATGGTGCTCAAAAGAATTGTTTTCCGGCTCCAGGGATTTAAAAGACTGTTGAAGCAAATATCTTCGAATAACAAACATCTTTTCAGATTTAGTAGTTATCAAAGCCTTCTTTCTCTCTGGATTTTCGAATGAATGGTTCAGAAACAGTAGAAACCCTGCTAGAATTGATGATGTTCTGCTGATGAAGAAAAAATGAAATATTTATTACCGCAACAATAAAAGTACAAACACAAGCATATCCTCACAGGAACCAAGAAAAAATCCTTGCCAGCATATGTGATTTGTTCATTTACCTTTTGTTTTCTCCCAAAAAATCCATAAGCTGGGAGTTTATTATTGTAGATGAACATTGAATCCAAGACCTCAGCAAGGACTTCTAAGGTCCTTACCAATTGGACTAATCGGTACCCACAAAAAGATGCTCTCATTATAATAAAGAAAAAAAAAATTATATGGTGAACAAATCATTAGCATCATCCCATAATCATTAACCTCACCCCATTTTATCATTTGCCATAATCATTAGCCTCATCCGAAATACATAGTGAACAGTTTTCAGTAACTTCGGTGCACATTTAATAATTGACTGCCAACACAACATCAAGAGTTGACTATATCATTAATCTAACTCAAAAATAGATCAGTTATAGAAACAAATTAGGGGTCATCATCAGTCCTGTGAAACCGATAAACTAAGCCAGATCCACATAAATTGGATGGTTCAATTTGGTCATAAATCAGTTGATTTTTTTTCCTCTATAGATTTACCGAATGTCAAGTTTGGTTTCATTCTAATTTTTAGAACACTAACATAACTCATTGATAAATCAAATCACCGGGCTTCAATTCTGGATCTGTATTTTACAATCCATACCACAATTCAAAGTAATGCCTAGATTTTAGATTCTACAAATCCCAGTTCAGAACTATGAAAATTAAGTTTAACAGGAAAGGAATCAAGCAGATTTAATAAATTCCGGTGTGTTCAGAATCAGTTTTGAAGCAGAATTCGATTACTTCTAGTTGATAATTGGCAACACTGAAGTTGTCGATTCAGCTGATCAGGCTAACGCGAAAAAATATTACAATTACAAAAATCTTTAGGGGTTGTTTAACTACAAGAAAAAATTAATAAATCTTCTAAATTATAAACTAATAAATCCTGAGAAGGTTAAATCATAGAAATAAATTGCGAGGATATCTATCAAAACCAGTTAAATCCTATCAAGTTGTTTGGCTATTTATTTCAGGAATTAAAAATTTAAATGATTACAAGATTTACAAGAAAAGGATGTGTAAAACAAAACTGAGAGAAATCACTAAAATAAAGTATTGAATTCTGTTTAACAATCCAAGGGCGTATTAAGCACGTACATTTTGATTAGTTGATGAATTCTTTTAAATTAAACTAAAGCTAAAAACACTATTGATTCTTCTAGTGAGAACCTAAAGAAATTAATTCCAACCTCACAAAGTTTAAAAATTTATTCCAAAATCTAATAAAATGGTCAATTTCCTAGTACTCATGTGCTAATAATATAATATACAAAGTGCTATACCTCCAATCATCTAAAACCACTAAACTTTTAAAAAAAATTACTTTCTAGAGAATTTAATGCCAATGTATTAGAAGGGGTTTCCAGACAAATATTTCTCACAGTTCCTTAATGTACTGCCTACAGTAAATTGCTTCAAGTGCTTGAATCATCCCCTCTCCTCGTTCAAAATGACAGGTGCCAATACTGCACAGGATCATGCAGTTGATGATGATCTGATTTAACAAACATAAAACGATACAGACCTTCAAACTGAATAATGAAAAAAACTTCTCTCTTTACACCCAAAAATAGGCACAGGTTAACGCAAAAAAGTATTACCATTACAAAAATCTTTAGGGGGGATGTAAAATTTAATAAATATTCCAAATTAGAAATTAATAAACCATGACAGGGTTAAATCATTTTAAAAAAAAATGGTAGGATATCTATTAAATCCAGCTAAATCCTATCATGTCGTTTGGCTATTTACTTCAGGAATTAATGATTTAAATGATTACAATATTTACAAGAAAATGATGTCAGAGCCAAAACTGAGGAGAGAATTCAATAAAATAAATAATTGAATTCTGTTTGACAATCTAGGGGCATATGCATACCTACATATGTACACACACGCGCGCACACACACACACACATGCATGCCCATACATACATACATGCACATACATACAGACATACATGCATGCATGCATGAATGCATGTATTTATTTATTTGTATATATATATATATATATATATATCTATGCGTATGAGTGTGTTATAATTTAATAAATATCATAATTAATTTATAAAAACAATATTTTATGAGAATGCATAATAGTTTAATTTTATATAACATAATAAAAATTAACATCAACATCAAAAGAAATTTTAAGTGGTGTTGTCCCTTATATCCAAACAATATAATCGTGTCCAGCTCAAACTATTCAGTGCGTTTTGTCCTGTCGATCACACTATTCTGTTTAACTGAGAGCTTTGGCTCTATCAAAGAGATCTTGGTTTCAAAGACCATCATATGTATGTTGGTGATTTGTGCATTAGTGCTTAACTATTAAAAATAAAGAAATAAATAAATATAAAATAAGACTTCAACATTTATATCATATATTATTTTTTTTCAAAAGGTTTAAATCTTAGATTTCAATAGAAAAACAATACTATTTTGTCTCTTCTTTAAAAGGTACTTTGTTTGCAAGTATGAGGGGTATAAAGCAAAAGGAATGCATTAGTTCTAATTATTTTGTGTTCGATTTCAAGTATTTGTAAGAGATTTAGAATCCTCAGAATGCTTATCTTTTATGAACATGGAATTCACCCAAGCCAAATAAAGTCCATATTAATAAAAAAAAAAATCACAAACCACAACCTCACCTGCTTCATTTGCGAATGGGCACACCGCCTCCCACCGTATTTCAATGCAATTTCAAAGCATCATAAGAAATAAAAAAATGGTATTTCAATACAATTGGCTATCATCCAACAAACAGCTCACATGTTTTTAAAATTCATGCATTTCAATTGCTCTGCATTTTAACAACATCCAAGAAATCCCTGAGAAATTAAAGTTGATAAGTGGAGGACAGTTTTATGCAAGAACAATGAAAAATGATAGAAAGTGGCGGATTGGTCAATTAAATCATATAATCAATAACCAAATCAGTAAGAAGGGCAAGCCCTCCAAGCAAGAAGATAGCCTCAATTAGCTCACTAAAAAAATAATAGTAAATAAATAAAAGGAAGAAAATCTATACCAAAATCTCGTTTCCTTTTCCCACTCTCCCCCTGCACTAGCTCACCCATTTCATTTAAGAATAACAACAGATGGTACAAAAGCATCTGTACAATGTTATGCATGATATTATTACCTTTTAATAATACAGTTGTACAAAGGAAGAAAATACACACTGTTGTGTATAGCCTTCTAAGAAAAAAAAGGTACTAAATTAAACAGAGCTTTGCCTCCAGCATCATGTTAAAAACAGCAAACAATAAACTTTAGAAACTCTCATATTTACCAGAAATAGGGGTTATACGTGATTTAATTTTACTAGAGGATCTAAAATCAATAAAGTTTTGTTTGGTAGAATTTGAGCTAAATCTCACATAAATACTAGTTAGAAATAGGTACAAACAGTCGCTTAAAAATCAGAATTGTTATAATAAAATTATAAACTAAGTGGTTGTTTGGTTGCGACATTTAACCAAACTTTATCAAGAATTTAGGCCATATATTATCAAACAATTTTTGTACAATATAAATCTTACTACCTCCCCAAAGCTCAATTTACCACTGTTTATGAGATAAATCCAAATTTTAGTAGTCTATGTGAAGTGAGACATAAGGGATTCACAAAGACGCCTAGTAATGAGGTCAAGAGGAAGAAGAGATGCGCATGTCGACTACCCCGCTTCCACCATCTTATAAAATTTGGGAGGTTGCATAACGGCTTCACAATGGTTCAGACTCACCAGAATTATAGTTGCTGCATTCCTTCTCCAAATCTATATATTGCCTACCTGATTCCATGACTAATGTCAAGTACATTCTTAAGACCGATCCTGCCAGCTATAGTAAAGTAACATAAAATTGTGAATTTGTGATCTTATTGGCTTTGTTATCTCTTTAGTCATTTATTTGATTTAATAATCTTCTATAGACAATTTCCTCTTTCGTTCCTTTTGTCATGTTTATAAAGTTATGGATGTTCACTTTAGCTATAAATACATGTTTATATGATTTTTTTTCTATGATTTAGAGCACTTTGATACTTTAGATTATAAAAAATTGATTGTCCTCAAGTAAATTTTTAAAAGTTGAAAAATTTTAAAAATTAGATACCGGTTTATTTATTTAAATGAACAAAAAGTTCATACCGTATGATTTTTTTTTTTGGTGATTTTTCTTGTCAGTTTAGGTTTCATGTCAGATTCTACCCATCAGATTAAAATTTTTTATTAAATCACATAATCTTTTAAATCGTGAAACAAATTGCCAAACAATTTATCAAGATTAAGGTTTAATGGATATCAAGCTTAACAGTTTTCAGGATTTAACACCACAATAATTTATTAAATCTAAACAGAATTTACCATAAACCCTACTAAGATAAATCATGCTTGCAGCCAAACTGCCCCTAAATCATTTATTTTGAAAGAATTGCTAAACATAAAAATGTTAAAGGCCAATAGCACGAATTTACCTGGCAAGCAAAGCATAAAAAGCAATAAAATTGAAATAAACAGACCACATGGCTAATAATAAAATAAAAAGTCATGTAAATTAAAAGTTTCAATGGCCTCAGCTAATAGATGAGTACATAGATGAACCCAAAATTCTATTCACATCCCATAATAGCAATTAGGAATGAACCAGATCGATCAAGCTCACCTCAGCTCCTGCGCTTCATTCATCTTTCGATCCAATATTGCCAAAAATGCCTCACGGATCCAAGCCAACGCTACTCCAGATCCAAGAAAGCGAATCAGAATCGTAACAAGGTATTCAGTAAAAGTTCCTATAGCAACAACGATCCCGCCATATTCCTGACACGACGTTTTCGTTTTTACCTACAGAAAACCGGCCGAAGTCAAACAAATCAGAAAAACGAAAAAACAAGAGTTTCATTCCGGCAGATCTAGGTTCTAATACAGAACTTTCTCATCCTAACAAACCATTCAATCGGAGAAACAAGATCGAACTGCTATTTTCACAGCAAAAATCTCACCTCCTTCGACCAACGCCATGAGTAGCTAAACTAGCTTCAATCGGCCACCGACCCTCCACAACTCCTCCGGATCGTCAAGATCCTGTCAAAGAAGCCTCCGTAAGCACGGCTTAAATCGCCTGAGGACCGCCGGAATGACGTCGGATTGCGGAGACCACACCATCAAACTGCGGCTCTATGGTCAATAGCCATGAAAAAAATAAAATAAAAAATGGCGCTCACCAAGGCACGAACTGCCAATCCCCCCTCTTCTTATAGCGGACCCCTTTTACCGGCCAAACCCTCACCTGGGGGCAAAATCTAAACTCGAACATGGTAAATATGCAAAAAAAAAATAATAATAATAATAATAAATAAAAATAATCGCTGATGTGCGTTTACGGCTAAAATAAACGGTCAGATGAATTCCATTGTCGTCAAATTTCGTGCTGGCGGACATACTTTCGAGGCACGTGAGGCACAGCCCCGCACGTCTCCTAGAAAGAAGCTTATTAATTACCATTTTTTTAATGATTTAAATATATTCCGATTTGGACTCATCACTGGACCACCGGCCTAACTCCTCAGTTTGCCAGCTGTTACTGATGGAGCCCACAACCCCGGGGACATTATCGTCAATCTAGCGGCAGCAGCGGCCTCCATTTGATCACTGTTTATACAATTTTAAACGTATTCAACCACTGGCCACGTGGCAATTGAAACCTGCTAACTCTAAAATCACCCAAATTTTAAAATTTTCATTCTAACCACCATAAATCTTTCGAAACAGACACCTGACAAATGTTTCTGCCATCCATCGCCTCTAAATTAATATAATTTTTATAATTTTTATATGTTAAAATTATCAAAAAATATGATTATATATGATCGTCACAATAATTTTATATATTCACATATCTAACACTTAAACTTAAATATCTATCTTTAAAGCATTTTGATCTCTTAAGAAAATATGTATTTTATATTTAAAATAATAATAATAATAATAATAATAATATTTTAATGTGATAAATGCCCTTTTTTTATTAAAAAAAGAAAATATTAAATAATCATTTATCTACTTATTATATCGTAGCTCTTATTTCAGAATACCAGGCTGTCGTCAGGATAAGGGTCTGACGGCAAACAAGAGTTAGCACCACTTGCTTCCCAAAATGGAAGAAAGTGGTTCGCAAAAGGAGCTTGATTTGTTTATAATTGCGAGATTGCCAGTACTTATCGATCTCTCATCCCTGTCATGGTGGCATGCGGCTGTCGCTACCGGCAAGGACTTGGAATGACGGAACTCGACATCATCTATCGGAGAGGTCCCTTCGAGCCGTTGGATCTTTCCTTTTTAAGACTAACGGTGGACGGCAGAGATCTCAACGGTTAGATGAAATTTGATTTGGACGGGCAGTGTAATGAGTGTGTTTCATTCAATATACTACAGTGTATGGACTATTGGATTGTGTATGTTGTTGAATTTTAGTAGTAACTTTTCTCTATTTACATGCCTTTATGATAGTTGATGAGATAATTTTATATGACAATTGAGATATTATAATGTTAAGTTTCATTGTGAATAGTTCTTTAGTGAAATTCCTCTAATTGCTTTAGAGAAATACAACTAAGTTTTTAAATTCATACACAAGACTAACATTTTCCAAGGTTTATTTTTTCTCGGATGTGATCTAGGTTTATCATACACTTATGATTCTTCGGGATTCATCTAATGATGATAATTTTATGGGGATTAATGAATCGCTTTGTAATTTAGTATTATCCTTGCATGCCTTTACATAAGTTTTCTTAATAAAAAGTGGGAATTGAAGTAATAATGCTATTTGAATCACATTTTATTTTTATGTTATATTTTGCTTATATTTTAGATAAAATAAATCATATTTGGTGTGTTATAATGTGGGTAGTTGTTTTTAAGAATACTCAAAAGAACTTTCAGGCTTTTGAGTATTTAGAATAAAATAATTTATTTCTAAAATAAAATAAAAACATTAAATAGAAATGTAGTTTTTAAAATAAAAAAGTTTTAAAAAAAATCAAAATTGATCCCAAACAAACCCTTAGTAGTTTCAAATTATCTCTGCACACCCTGACATTAAGTTGTCTAATATAAAAGTTTGTTTGAAATGAAAAGAAAAAAATTTCGCTTTCTTTTATGTCCCCCGCATATTTAAACTTCTGTCATTATGCTAAGAGTTGCTCATTATTGTGTTCTTCTTGTTTCGCTCCACGCCTGCATTTGAAGATGTCCGCATGAGGAGCCCCTAAGGTGTAATTTCTTCATTCAGTAGTAAATTAGCTTAATAATTTTTTTTAATTAAGTATGATTAACACATGGAGTTTTAAGGCATGAAAATTTAAGCATAATGTCCTAACTAGACAAATAATCCCTTGGTTAAAAATTGCAAATTAGAGATCGAATAAAACTTATATTACTAAAGTAAGTTTTTTTATTTGAGAATTATGTAGATTTTGATTAGGATCTCCCATCTTGTGAATAAGTTAATGTTATTCTAATAGCCTAAATTGTTTACTTGCTTCAAACTAATTGGGACAACTTTATTGCACAAGAATCAACTTCTTAGAGCAATACATGATAATATATTATTTGTTACTTTCCTTAAACAAAATGACCAATATTCTAAGGAGATAATAAAAGATGGCGAAAGATATTAAATTGAATTTAAATAATATATTTTAAGATGCTAAGAGAATATGTGCTAGTACATAACTAATAATCTTTTATAACAAGAATATAATGAAGGAGTTATTGCCTATCTAACATCATTCAAGAATTTCTTTTCTAAAAAGTTATTTAAGATTTTTTTTTTCCTTAGTAATAGACTTCACCCTATTATGAATCTTCTCAAGAGAGTAGGACTACTCTTTGGTGGCAGAATAGGGCTCATATAAACTTTGGCATTAATGAATTTAGTTTATTGAGAAGTTGCATTTTATCATTGGTCGAAAAGTGGGTGGAAGAGTACCTTTTTTGAGAAATTTTATGTTTCGAGACTTAGGAGCTAAATTCCAGTGCAATTCCGCATCGAAGACCAGATGAACGCTTCCTGCTTCCATAGTCACCAACCACTGTTTGCCTGCAACTGTCAACCATTGTCGATCGCCCCTACTCCTTGCAAAAAAGCCTTTCGCGGAGTCGTGACGTACACTGCAGAGTAAACAATCATTGTGCTAAGCAAAGACCGACCTCGTAGAGTAATGAAACACCATGCAGAGTAACGAGAGACATTTTGGAGCAGCGCATCATCTTGAACTCTTTGCAAAATGCATCTTGAAAATGATGCACCAATGTCTCGACAACTACTCCAAACGGCTAAAAGCCACTTATGCTGCCATCGGGGCTGTCAAAACGGCTCGTGAAGAAACTCATGTTAGGCTCGTTCGCTAAGTTAACGAGTCAAACACGAACATTTGTTCGTGTTCGGCTCTTTTTGGCTCGAAATACTACTAATCAATTATATATATATATATATCTTTGATGAGTAGTATTTTTAAAAAAAATTAATTGTACAAAGATTTATAATCAATTAAAAGTATTAATGAAGAAAATAGAATAAAAAATATTAAATTAGATTCAAATGATGTTTTAAATCTTGTCTCAATTCTTAACATCTTATAGCTTGCTGATTAGGGTTGTCAAAATGACTTTTTGTTTGTGAACGACTTGGTCGGGCTGGAAAAGAAAACGACCCAAACATAAACACACTTTTTGAGCTCGAAATATACACGAGCCGAACACGATTTGAGCCTAGTATCGCTCCTGTTCGGCTCGTTTACACCCCTACTGCAGTTGCTCCCAGTCATCATGCAACAAATCATCCTACATGCAATCACTGTACTCTGAAAAACTTCTTGCGTCCCTACCTGTTATTTGAATTACATGTCTATGCTCTACTGTTATGCAATGTTAGGACATTAATTAATCACTCTTCTGCAATGAATCTTCCAGCACGCAACACACTCAAAAAAACATATTTCTATACAATTGTATATATAATTTAAAACCATTTACAAGCACAAACACATTGAACATAGGTAAAAAAAAAACTAAGAGTGCCTTTGGCAAATTGAAATAAATATTTTAAAGACCTATTATAATTTAACTATTGTATAGTTGTTTCATCTTCGTAACCTTTTTATCACTTGACCTCCTGTTTTCGCTCATCTCCAAACTCTCCAACTTTATGCCCTTCTTATAATAAAGATGCTGCATATTTGGGTGTGCAAATATATAAACTTTATAGGTGTGTGAAATATTCAAACTTTAATGACAATAAAAAAAAAAGGAAAAATCAACTTGAAGTAAAAAATAAATAAAAAACTAATTTCAATAACATCATATAAATATAAAAATTATCCAGAAGAGCTGTAGATAGCAAATTATTATAAATAAAAAAACCCATTTTTCAGTATAATTAAGCTCTTGAAATGACGTATGATTGCAAGGTTTTTCTTTTTAAATGTTTCAGACGTGACAATATCAGATTTATAATTTTATTAATATTTCTATTTCGCATTTTCATCACCACTGACATTATAAAAGTCTACATACAAATTTTAGTCCATTCATACATGAGATTTTTTTTTCCCACCCAGTTGTTTTAGAAAGTGATTATATGTAGTTACTTGTGTTTGATTTCAATTTCATAGTGACATTTCATATTGTTTACTGATTTTATCAAATTAATATATTATTTAATTAATCTCCTTTTTTTTTCCCCTTTTGATGTCGCTACAAGGAGGACAAAATATATAAATATGTTGTTGTAGGTACATGTTAACGTTAAGGCGAGTGATTAATAAGGTTTGTTTTGCTGAACTTTTTATCTTGTATTGTACAATTATTTTCAGTTTTTTGCACTGTGGATGGTTGTGTCATTTTATGAAATTATATATATGTTTGTGATTAGTATTTATCAAATTGTTAGTAATGGTTTTGTTATGAGATATATACTTCCTTGCATAGAAATGACACGCAAATAGCACAAGCAAATATAGATCGTTTACGTGGTTCGATCCAACTGGATCTACGTCCATGGGAGGGAATCAAACAAATAGTTCACAAAGGAAAAAAAAAAAAAAAGGAGAATACATAGCTTATACATAGAGATGAACCCTCATCTTCCTTCTATGGCCTCCATCTCGAGCGACACTTTGATACAAGGCCTCAAGATGGTCTCCTCCTCTCTAGCTCTCTAGTTATTCTCTCCTTCTTTGTGGTAG